CCACCAGTGAGCCCCTGGTGCCATCTGCCAAGGTCCTTTCAATCCCCGAATCCAGTATGGGCCCGTGCCACACACACACACACAAGCAGGTGCACCTGGAGGCATCACCTGGCCCCATGTGCTCCCCAGGGCTGTAGAGCCCGCCTAAGGCCAGTGCCACAGGGGCCAAGCCGTGGCTCAGTCGTGTGTGCAGGGGAGGGAAGGAGTCAGAACATGAGGAAAGGAAGGAGGGAGGAAAGGAGTGAGGATGGAGTGCCGTCAGTCGGCTCCGACTCACAGTGACCCTGCCGACAACAGGACAAAACGCTGCCTGGTGCTGTGCCAGCTCCACAATCTCTGCTATGCTGCGCCCATCGCTGCAGCCGCCGTGTCAATCCGTTTCATCGTGGGCCTTCCCCTTCTTCGTGGACCCTCCACCTCACCAAGCATGACATCCTTCTCCAGAGAATGGTCCCTTCTGACAACATGACCAAAGCAGGTGAGATAAAGTCTGGCCATTCTCGCTTCCAAGGAGCATTCCAGCTGCACTTCCTCCAGGACAGACCTGTTAGTTCTTCCGGCAGCCCATGGTACTTTGTGTACTCTTCGCCAGCACCACAACTCAAAGGATCAGCTTTTCCTTGGCCTTCCTTATTCATTGTCCAGCTCTCACATGCATATGAAGCAATAGGAAATACCATGTCTTGGGGTCAGGCACACCTTCCTCTTCAAAGTGACAAAGTGACATCTTTGCTCCTTAACACTTTAAAGAGGTCTTTTGCAGCAGATTTGCCCAATGCGATAAAACATCTGATTTCTTGACTGCTGCTTCCATTGGCATTGACTGGCGAAGCAAGTAACACAAAATCTCTGACAACTTCAATCCATTCTCCATTTATCATGATGCTGCTTTTTGGTCCAGTTGTGAGGATTTTTGTTTTCTTTATGTTGACTTTTAATCCATAATGCAGACTAAAGTCTTTGATCGTCATTAATAAGTGCCTCAAGTCATCCTCACTTTCAGCGGCAAAGTTGTGTCATCTGCATGTTGCAGGTTGTTAATGAGCCTTCCTCCACTCCTGATGCCACGTTCTTTTTCATATGGTCCAACTTCTCGGATTATTTGCTCAGCTGTTGTTGTTATGTGCCGTCGAGTCGGACCTGACTCACAGCCACCCCTCCTTGGATGTCCAAGGCAGTATCACTACGGAAGTAGATTGCCCAACCTTCCTTCCGAGGAGTGGCTGGTGGGTTTGAACTGCCAGCCTTCTGGTTAGCAGTCAAGTGCCTTAGGCACTATGCTACCAGAGCTCCCATTTGCTGAGCATACAGATTGAATAAGTATGGTGAAAGGATAAAACCCTGACACACTCCCTTCCTGATTTTAAGTTGTGCAGTATCCCCTTGTTCTGTTAGAACGACAGCCTCTTGGTCTATGTACAGGTTCCTCATGAGCATAAGTAAGTGCTCTGAAATTCCCATTCTTTGCAATGTTATCCATAATTTGTTACGATCCACACAGTAAAATGTTTTTGCATAGTCAATAAAACACAAATAAACATCTTCCTGGTATTCTCTGCTTGCAGCCCCATCTGACATCAGCAGTGATGTTCCTCATTCCACGTCCTCTTGTGAATCCAGCTTAAATTTCTGGCAGTTCCCTGTCCATATACTCCTGCAACCATTTTTTAATTATTTTCAGCAAGATTTTACTTGTGTGCAATATTAATGATATTGTTCAACAATTTCCACATTCTGTAGGATCACCTTTCTTTGGAATAGGTACAAACACGGATCTTTTCCAGTCAGCTGGCCAGATAGCTGTCTTCCAGATCTCTTGGCAAAGCCAAATGAATGCCTGCAGCGCAGCATCTGATTGTTGAAACATCTCAATGGGTCTTCCATCAATTCCTGAGGCCTTGTTTTTTACCACTTCCTTCAGTGCAGCTTCAACTTCTTCCTTTAATACCATTGGTTCTTGATCACATGCCCCCTCCTGAAATGGATGAACATCGACCAGTTCTCTTTGGGACGGTGATTGTGTATTCCTTCCATCCTCTTTTGATGCTTCTTGCATCGTTCACTATTTTACCCATAAAATCTTTCAAAATTGCAACTCAAAGCTTGAATTTTTTTTCTTTGGTTCTTTCAGCTTGAAAAATGCTAAGCGTGTTCTTCCCTTTTGGTTTTCTAACTCCAGGTCTTTGCACATTTCGTTATAACAATTGACTTTTATCTTCTCAAGCTGCTTTTTGAAATCCTACTCAGCTCTTTTATCTTGTCGATTCTTCCATTTGCTTTAGCTATTCTCCATTCAAGGGCAAGTTTCAGAGTCTCTTCTGACACCATTTTGGCCTTCTTTTCCCATCTTTCCTGTCTTTCTAATGACCTCTTGCTTTCTTCATGGATGAAGAAATTCCTCTGGTTTTCGGTCACTGGTATTCAATGCATCAAATCTATTCTTTAGATGGGCTCTACATTCAGGTGAGATATAATCAAGGTCACATTTGGCTCTCATGCACTTGTTTTGTCTTCAGCTTCAACTTGAACTTGCATATGAGCAGCTGATGGTCTGTTCCACAATCAGCTCCTGGCCCTGTTTTGGCTGAAGATACTGAGTTTCTCCAACTCCTCTTGCTACAGATATAGTTGATCTGATTCCTGTGTATTCCATCTGGCAAAGTCCACGTGTATAGTCACCATTTGTGTTCTTGAAAAAAACTTATTTGCAATGAATAAGTTGTTGGTTTTGTAAAATTGTATCATGCAATCTGCAGCATCATTTCTATCACTAAGGACATATTTTCCAACTACCAATGATTCTTCTTTGTTTTCAACTTTCCCCTTCCAATCATCAGTAATAGTAACACATCCTGATTGCGTGTTTGGTCAATTTCAGACTGCAGATGTTGGTAAAAATCTTCAACTTTCTCCTTTCAATCATCAGTAATAATAATACATTCTGATTGCGTGTTTGGTCAATTCAGACTGCAGATGTTGGTAAAAATCTCCAACTTTCCCCTTCCAATCATCAGTGATAATAACACATCCTGGTTGCGTGTTTTGTCAATCTCAGACTGCAGATGTTGGTAAAAATCCCAACTTTTTCATCTTTGGCTTTGGTGGTTGGTGTGTATGTTTGAATAATGTTATTAACTGGTCTTCCTTGTGGGCCTATGCATAGTATCCTACCACTGACAGCATTGTACTTCAGGACAGATCTTGAAACATCCTTTGTGATGATGAATGCCACACCATTCCTCTTCAATTTGTCATTCCCAACATTACAGACCATATGACTGTCAGATCAAAATGGCCAAAACCAGTCCATTTCAGCTCACTAATGCCTAGGATGTTGATCTTTCTGTGTTCCATTTCATTTTTGACAACTCCCAACTCTCCTACATTCATACTTTGTACATTTCACATTCCGGTTACTAATGGATGTTTGCAGCTGTTTCTTCCTATTTTGAGTCAAGCCACATCAGCAGATGGAGATCCAGAAGGCTTTGCTCCATCCACAGCATAAGGTCAGTCGACCCTAGGAGGTGCCGACCCTCCTCTGAGGAGGCAGCTCTTCCGCAGTCGTATTCTGAGAGCCTTCTGACCTGAGGGGCTCATCTTCCAGCACTGGGTCAGACAATGTTTCAGGACTATTTGTAAAGTTTTCCAGTGATACATCAGTGTTTCACTGCTATTCACAAGGTTTTCACTGGCCAATTCTTTGAGAAGTGGATGGCTCCTTCCTTCTTCTGAGTCTGTCTTAGTGTGGAAGTGCCACTGAACCCTGTCCACCACGGGTGACCCTGCTGGCATCTGAAATACTGGTGGCACAGCCTGCAGCCTCACAGCAACACACAAGCCACCACAGTGCAACACACTGACAGGCGAGTGGGGGGAATGATAGAGGGGGGGAAATGAGGGAGAAAGGGAATGAATGAGTGAAGGAGGAGGAGAGAATGAATGAGTGAAGGAGGGAGGGGGAGGAATAAATGAGTGAAGGAGGGAGAGGGAGGGGACTGAATGAGTGAAGGAGGAAGGAGGAGACAGGAATGAATGAATGAGGAGAGAGGGAGAGGTGAGAAGGAAGGAAGGAGGGAGGGAGGGAGGGAGGTGGTGGGCCCGTGTCAACCACAGCAGGGCAGGGACAAAGGCTGAGCAGCCCTGCCTGCTGCCCCCTGGGGCCTATCCCTCAAGTCCCCAGAGCCGAGGTCCCTCCTGCCCCCGACCTTTTGGAGGGGGATCGGGAACCCAGCCAGGGGCCCCCTGCCCGCCCCTGCCCCAGCACTGGCTCCCCTGCTGCCCCTCCTCAGGGAAGCCCTGCAGCTGGGGAGGGCCTGGTGACGACCTGTCTAACTGGCTCAGTGCGAGCAGAAACAGCTTGGGGCCCAGTGTTCCCAGACTCAAGGCCAGCCCTGCTGTGCTCCTGGGAGAACGACCCACCTACACCCATGTGAGATACCCCAGAAGCCAGCAAAGAGGGCCCACCGGCCCAATGCCCTGGGGTAGTAGGGAGCACACACGAGGCCAGGGGCTCTGCCAGGTGCATGCCCATGCAACCAGAGCCCTGGGCTGCAGTGCCAACACACTTTGGAGGGCAGACCACTGGACCGACTGGCTGCCTTGCATAGCTGGCCAGCCCGTGTCACCCAAAGGCCCATCCAGCACACGTCTGCTGCTCCACAGGCCCCAGAAGTGTTTCCACCCCAGCCCTGGCACACACCCCTCCCCACAGAACAGCAAGCACACGGCCCGCAGGCGGGGCCTGCACCAGGCTGGCCGAGGACAGAGAGGGGAGAAGCCTGACACGAGCCTGGTGGGAGTCACCATCCCAGCCACCACGAGAGACAAGCACACAGTCTGTACCAGGGAGGCACTGGCAAAACCAACCGGTGGTCTGATGGCACTCCCCGAAGTACGGCCCACAGCACATCCTCTCCTTGCCATGGCCTGCCAGGCTGGACCCTCTCGGGGACATGGCACCGCCCACTGCCCCCCAGATCCCCGTGCCGGCCTCGTACCTTCCTGTGAAAGGAGCTGGGTCCGGCCCGGTGGCAAGTGGCACAGCCTGTGCCTGGTGACCTGCAGCAGGCCCTTGTTAGGGGTCTTCTTCAGAACAGGGCTGCCCTTCCCCCTCAGGGCCTGTCTCCGCCGCAAGCTGAAGTGGTTCTTAGCAGTGGTGGCAGGGGGGCCGGCCTTCTTGTCCACAGGCAGACTGAAGAGAACAGCAGGAAGTTCACAACAGGCCTCACCCAGGACCCCAGGTGGCCCTCCCCACCCACAGGCCTCACTCAGGACCCCAGGTGGCCCTCCCCACCCACAGGCCTCACTCAGGACCCCAGGTGGCCCTCCCCACACACAGGCCTCACCCAGGACCCCAGGTGGCCCTCCCCACCCACAGGCCTCACTCAGGACTCCAGGTGGCCCTCCTCATCCATAGGTCTGGCCAGAGCCCACCATAACCCCATGAGGGCAGGGCACTGGGAAGGTGACCCCTTGGAAGCTGGCCACCAAGGGGACCTCAGACCACTCTGCCCCCTCTGGCCCAGGGCGCAGACTCTGCCCTCTTCCTGAGGTCACACAGAGCATGAGGGCCCGAATCAGGACACCCACAGGAAGCGGCCCGCTGCCACTCCAGCCCCCAGAACAAGCCCTCGCCCTGGCACCCAGGCACAGACACTCAAACAGCACCAAGGGCTTCCGCCCAGTTCCCACGTGAGCTCAGCCTGCCACCCCCCTGGAGGAGAAGCGTCTGCCCCTTGCAGACATGTCACCTCAGGCAGACCTGGGAAGTGGGCACCTTCCCACCACTGGCCCAGCTCATCCACCCTTCCCGTGGAAGGGGTCTCCAGCAGCCCACTGGTCTCACACCACGGGGGGAAGGAGGGCCCGCCCGCTACCTCTGTTCCTGCCTGGTCTCAGGCAAGCCCCTGAACCATCCTCACTGTTAACAACAGTGGTGATTCCTGCACCCTGCCGCTACCAGGCATGTTAACCCCGCTCGTGCACAAATCTTCCCACTCAGGCCAGGCACGCAGCAAGCGCTTGGTATGTGTGGCTGTCCTTCTTGATGCCCTTCTCCCAACCCTGCTGGCCCTACGACTGGCTCTATGCAACAAGAGAGTCCAGGCTCCCAGAGGTGTGGCCACCTGCTCAAAGCTCTGTATCCAGAGGCTAAGGGCCCCGTGCCCACCCCACCCGCCCAGACACACACCTGGCACTGCCCCGGCGCCGGATGATCTTGGTGCGGCTCTTCACCTTATACCCTGAAAGTGGGGTCTCCGCGAAAAGGAGCTTCGAGCCGCTGGGCCCCGTTGCCGGTCTGTCCTCAGGCAGTGACTGTGACAAGACTGGGGAGAGTGGAGTGGGGTGGTCCCTGGGGCCAACCTCTGGCTGCCAGTGGGAGGAGGAGGAGGAAGCCGACGGGCTGGAGGCCTTCCACTTGTACTTGCTCGGAGATGCCCCAGGCTTGGGCGGCCCAGCACCCTTCCTGGCCTTGCCACCTGGGTCAACTTGAACCTGTTGCTTCCCTACCATGCCAGGAGCCTTGCCCGCACTCTCCACAGCCGTCCTGGGGCTGAGGGCTCTCCGGGCAGCCCGGGGGCTCTTGGCCGAGGCAGCCACCCATTTGTAGTTGTTCTTCCGGAACTTGTTGGTTCGAAAGGACACTAGCAGTGAGGCCTCCCGGACCTGCCTGGGCCCTGTAGTTGCTCGAGTTGGGCCTGCCGCCAAGCCTAAGGGGGCTGGCTGATCTGAGCGGCCAGCATCCGCCTTCCTGTCCCCAAGAAGCTGAGAGGCACGGCTGGCTGTGGAGTGCAGACCCACCTTCCGGCCCAGGGTCCCACTGCTGCGCTGGGGTAGGCCAGCTGGGCCTCGTGCCTTGACCACGACAGCACCCTCGCTGACCGTCCGCTGTGGCCCGGGGGGGCTCCCACTCACATTGCTCACGGACCTCACCACCCGGGGCTTGCCTGGCTCCTTCTGGCAGACCAGCAGGGGGTCCTCCCCACCACAGCGTTCCCTGACTCTGCCTGGTGTCAAAGGCTGCAGCTCCCTGCCCAGAGGTTCACCTTTGCCTTCCTGGGCTCGCTGGTCACCCCAGTGAGCACCCTCATGCGCCTCCGAAGGCTGGGCCCCGAAGGCACTGGCTGAGCCCGGCTGTGACGGTGGTGGCTTAATTTTGATGACCATGTTCTGATCCGGGCTGAGCTGCACTTGCCTCTCAAGGACATAGGGCTGGGGGTCAGGCCCCAGGCTGGCCCCGGCCCCAAGGGCAGGCTGCGAGGGCTGGTCACCAGGTGGGTCCGCGGGTTCTGGAGGCTGATTCACCAGGGAGTACTTCTTCCGCCACGCAGGCCCTTGGTGCGGGGTGAAGCCTCTGCGGCCTGAACGGGGGTGGCGGGTACCAAAGGACCTGCTGCTGTGGTAGGCAGGCGGCTGCCAGCGGGAAGCAGCTGAGGTGCACGGGGCAGGAGCATTGCCGTGAAGGGTTTTGTAGTCATCAATCAGACCTGAGAAAACAAAACCACAATGTGAGCAAGAAAAGCACCCCCCATCCCAGCTACCCTGGGGGGTACCAGCTGGCAAGACACCCCACAGTCATCGTGTCCTTCGGAGGTGAGCCAGCCACCGTGCCTCGGGCCTAGGTCCCATGGGCCCGTCCCCCAGCACTTCGACTTCTCTGCTTTCGCTGGCTGCTTGTCCAGAAACAACACCCCCAGTGGAATCATTTTGTTGGCTGCCCGGGAGTCCACTCTGACTCACAGTGACCCAGGGTACAAGCCAAGAACCTGGTGCCAGCTGCTGCACTGCCCTCCTGATCCTTGGGAGGCTGGAGTCCATCCCACCGATGGTATTCCTCGTTCTCAGTGAGCCCTCTGTATTATCACACATGACACCTTTGTCTAGCGATCGGCCTTTCCTGATGCATCCGAAGTGAGTGAGCCAAAGTGTCACCAAACACGCTGCCAAGGAGCACTGTTTGTGTGTCTTCTAGGACTGACTACGCACTCTTCTGGCGTCCGTGGTATGTTCAGTTGTCTGCCTTTGGTATTGTCGCGGTTGTAGTAAGTACCACTGAGTCAGTTCTGACTCACAGTGACCCACATTATGAAATTCATTGTTTTTATCAGCATCCCCACCAGGAGAGCCCTGGCCCAGACCTGGTCATACCTCAGGGCAGGTATGACAGAAACCTGGGCTTACCTACATTTTCCAAACCCCAAGTCGTCTCTTTGTGGGCTCCACTTTAGAGAGAAATTTTTTGAAAAAGTTTAGGAAGTACAGCTTGGGTCCAAACCCCGGACAAGGGAGCAACTGCGGGCTAGGGAGTCGGCATGGCACACGTATTAGGGGATGACTGTATAGGGAAGAGGTGTCAGAACGGGGTGCCGGGATGACGAAGACACACACGCAAACGTCCGCACGGAGCGGGTCTGGCCACCCTGGACCAGGCGCGAGTGACACTCCCCACTGCCGGCGTGCGAGGGAGGTCGCCTGAGGACGCCGCCGCCCGTGGGGGTGGGGTGGGCCACCTCGGTTACTAGGCGACGCGCCCACCATCACCCGCCGCAGCACCAGGAGGCCCAGTACTGTTGGTTGGACGAAGCAACAGCAGAGGACTGGCCAGGCCGGCCCGAAGCGTCGCTGGGTCCCCCACCCGCTGCCCGGCCCTACTCCCCACCACGGACAGCGCTCCCTCGCGGACAGCGGGCGGAGCGACTCCCGGGAGGAGGACCGGGGCTCGCTGTGAGGGGAGGGCAAAGACAAGGACGCGCGACCCCAATCCCCGCGGTCACCTACCCTGCAGGAGACGGATCTGTCGCCGTAATTGCTCCTTTTCCTCCATCTCCGGACACCGCGACGCCCGGCCAGGCCCCCGCGACATCATCTCTCCGCGACTGTTTCCCTCTGGGCGGGGCGGGGCCGCGGCAGGGCGGAGCCGGAAGAGCGAAAGCCGCCAGGAAGCTCGGAGACTGCGTACTGCGCCGGGGCCGCGGGCGTCTCTCCGGCAATGCCCCGCCCGGTACCCCGAGGCCTCCTGGGAGGTGGGGCCGCGCACGCGCAGAGCGAGAGGAGGCGGAAGTGGCGTCACCACTGAGCGCCCGAGCGCTGACAGCTGTCATGAAGTCGCCTCATCTGCACTGGCGAAGAGGCGAAACGGACCTGTCTCGGCCAAGAGGGGCCGCCGGGGCCATCTTCACCGTCACCAGCTCACGTTCCCTTGGGGGTCGTGGGCGCGGGGCTTGAGATCTGAGCCTTCCCAGCCTAGTGCACCCCGCTACGCCGTTCCTTCCCTACGGTCTCTGCGTGGAGGGGACACAGGAGAGACCTGGTGAGAGAAGAATGTAGATGGGGATGACAGGGAGGTCACGGAGGCCCTGAAGGCCGGGCCTCGGAGTTACAAGGAGGCTCATCCGCCCGGTTCGAATCCCAGCTCCCTAGCTGAGTGATCGCGGGAATGGTCCTAAGCCATAAACCGCCATGTCCTCATCTGTAAAGGGGGTAAAAATACCTAATTGACCTCTTAGGGCTATTGTGGAGCTCTTAGCAGCCCAACCGAAAGGATCACTCTGTCATCTATTACTGCTGTTTTGTTGTTGTTAGGGGCCATCAAGTCAGCTCCAACTCGTAGCTACCCTGTGTACAACAGAATGAAATACTGCCCGGTCCGGAGCCATCCTCACAGTCCTTGCTGTGCTTGGCCTCATCGTTCCAGCCACTGCGCCAGTCCATCTCAGTGAGGGCCTTCCCCTTTTTTGTTGACCCTCCACTTTACCAAGCATGACATCCTTCTCCAGTGAATGGTCCCTTCTGACAACATGACCAAAGGAGGTGAGGTGAAGCCTGGCCACTCTCACTTCCAACAGTATTCTGGCTGCAGCTTTTCCAGGACAGATTTGTTCATTCTTCTGGCAGTCCACAGCATTTGCAGCATTCTTTGCCAACACCATAATTCAAAGACATCAGCGTACATATGAGGCAATTGAAAATACCATGGCTTGGATCAGGTGCACCTTAGTCTTCAAAGAGACATCTTTGCTCTTCACACTTTAACGACGTTTTTTGCAGCAGATTTGCCCATTATGATATGACATCTGATTGCTTGACTGTTGCTTCCATGGGTGTTGACTGTGGATCCAAGTGAAATGAAATCCCTGACAACTTCAATCCTTTCTCCATTTATCATGATGTTGCTACCTGGTCCAGTTGTGAGGATTTTCATTTTCCGTATGTTGAGGCGTAATCCACACTGCAGACTGTAGTCTTTGATCTTCATCAGTAGGGGATTCAGGTCCTCTTCACTTCCAGTTTTCTTTTAGTATCACTACTGTCATCCACCCCATCCATCCCCAAGGACCCCTACCTTCTTCCTCCAGAGAATGGATTTCTTTGTGTTTTTTTAACACCTCAAAATACAAAGATGTTGTGAATGGCAATAAAAAGGAATTGTTTGCCCCAATGCAATTCATTGCACTGGGAACACCAGGCAGTGTTTTGTTCTGTTGAACATAACAAATGAGACTCAACAGCATCGAACAAACAGGAATATGCAGTTTAGTGGTGAAATCTTGTCTATTCAGTAAATGGTGTTAGAACAACTGGATATCCTTGGGAAAGTAAAGGACTCTCGATATCTACCTCACTCAAAAATATATATTTAAAAAAAAAAAAAAAGAAAGCTGAGAAGATGGGTCAAAGACCTAAACAAAAGCTACAAATTATAAAGCTCCTAAAAAGAAGAAGAAGAAGGAACGTGTCTTCCTTTTACCTTTGGGTACCTTTGGGTAATAAGCAAAGATCCCTTACACAGGACAAAAGAGCACTAACGAAAACAAAAATGATGAAAGCATGCCATATATTGTGGTCATCAAAAAGCATTATTAAGAAAATGAAAACTCAAGCCCCAGACCCTCCCAGTTCTGGCTGATATCACAGTCCTACTGTAACAATGTGGAAAACTGGAAAAATACACAAAAGAAGTGCTTCCAGGCATTGTTACAACCGCAGCTGAGACCAATGATCTTTGAAAGAAGGGATACATGGAGGAAAGTCCCACACTCACCAGGTTTCTGCTGGGACCATCTCAAACAGGTGGACTTGCCATGGCCAGTAGGCCATTGAGAAACATGAGGCTGAGTTTTGCAAAGCACTTGGTCATTGGGCCCACCCTGGTCTGCCTCTGGGGACCCTTCACCCACCACCCTGTGGATAACCCCGAGCTAGGCTGCTGGAGGAACAACAGCACACGTATGTCGAATTCCACTGAGCAGCCTGTCAGCCAGCCATCTGCCAGGCATGTGAGTGAGGCCAGAGAACAGCACAGGGAGCTGAGATTTGCAGCCCAAATCACCAACCCACACAGTCATGAGTGTCTCAGCTCTCTAATGCTGCCATAACAGAAACGCCACAAGGAAGGCTTTAACAAACAAATTTATTTTATCACAGCTTAGGAGACTAGAAGTCTAAATTCAGAGTGCCAGCTCTAGAAGGTTCTCCCGCTCTGTGTTTTCTGGTTCTAGGAGGTTCCCAGCACAGGGACCCAGGTCCCAAGGATATGCTCAGCTCCTGGCTCTTCTTTCTTGGTGGCAGGTCCCTCTGGTCTCTGCTCACCTGTCTAACCTCCAGGTATCTCGACATACGGCCAGATCCTGTAGATTGCGTCCTGCCTCATTAACAGAACTACCACTAATTCTTCCTCTGTTGCCAGGAGGGACAGTCTTTGAAGGATATGACGCTCGGTAAAGCAAAGGGTCATTGAAAAAGAGGACCCTCAATGAGATGGACCAACACAGTGGCTGCAATCATGTGCTCAGACATAGCACTGATGGTGAAGATGGTGCAGACCAGGCAGTGTTTCGTTGTGTTGAACATCATCGCTATGAGTTGGAAGTGACTTGATGGCACCTAAAGGTCTCGTGTAAAGGTTAAGATTTACAACACATAGAATCGTTACAGCAGATGACAAAAGCAGATAAATGACATCACTGTGAGGATCCTGCCCCAGCCAAGCTGCACGTGTTTGGGGAGGACACTGTTCGGTCCACAGCATGAGCAAATCTATGCATGTTGTTTGTGGGCACTCAGTTTTAGGGTGGGGGATTCTCTACTCCAGGAGTAGAGAATTTGTCTACACAAAAACTGGCTGATTCACTGGTCTAGGATTCAAGTCTGTTCTGCCATTCTGTGCTGGGAAGATTGTGTATGTGTGGGGAGCGAAGGGGAGGCGAGCCCAGCCACTTGCTGAGAGGGAACAGGCTTCGTGGGTGTGATGGTTATGTTTGTGTGTCAACTTGGCTGGACCTAGTTGAGTAGCTGGGCAGCTGGTAGTACTTATTCCCCATGAGGAGACTGGCAATCAGCTCCATGGTAGGATCTACCATAAGCAGCTGAGTAGCTGCCTTTGGGATGTGGTCTGCTTCCTATACATAAGGAGAAGCCTTTGGGAATGGTCTCTAGTTGATGGCATGCTTGAACCCTGCATATAGCCTTGTTGTTGTTCAGCACCCTGCCGTGCTCTGCCGACCTTGGGACTTACAATGGACTTGAGTTAATGGCCTGCTGTGTGGTTTGGTAACATCAAGACGGTGACATTTTATTTGTCATCCTTTGGCTTGTCAGCCTCAGCAGCCAGTAGCTGCCTGAGTGAAGAAAAGCCTCTAGCTCCATTTGGCTGGGAATAAGAGGCAGAGCTGGACCCCAAGGTCAAGGGGCTTTCACTCAGCCCCTAGAGCCTGGCACTTGAACTCGGACTTCTAGCCTCCAAACTGTAAGAGAATAAACTCCTGTTTGTTAAAGCCATCATCCGGCCCTGGGTGTGCCACCAAGCACATTCATGGTCTGCACCACCATGGACTCTACCGTTAAGGCTCCCCTAATCTCCACAGTGACCACTTGTACCAGCCACACACACCATGGAGGGGAGCCTGACTGGAGCCCGGGGAGGTGAGCTCCAGCCTCCGCCGGCTGACATCCTGCACCACTCTGTCCGGGGACAGTGACACAAACAGATGCAGCACTGGGTAACCAGAACAGTTGGCTTGTCTTCAGGGTTTGTGAAACTGTTGGGAAGTAAGTGCTATCAGTTCACTCACATGCTCTGACTTGGGAGCAAATCGGAAAAGGACGTTGAGAACGGTTGCACAACCTGAAGAACTTGTGTCACCAAATTGCACATGCAGAAACGTTGTATTGGTGTGTGTTTGCTGTGTATGTTCCCAACAACAGTAAAATAAAACAAACCCCTTGACACCTATCAAAGTGGCAAAAATTAAAGCCACCCACCTTCAGCACTGGCAAAGCGGAAACAGAAACTCAGCCCGGCTGCATCGGAGGCAGGCGGGGCCTCTCCGAAGGGCTCTTTGCAGTATGTGCTGATATCCTGACACCTTGTCAGTAATTTCGCTGTTCAAAAAAAAACCAAACCCACTGCCGTCGAGTCAATTCTGACTCATAGAGACCCCACGGGGTGGTAAATCTTGACGGAAGTAGACCGCCCAGTCTTGCTTCTGTGGAGTGCCTGGTGGGTTTGAACCAGCACCCTTATGGTTAGCAGTCAGACACCTTTAGGCACTGTGTGCTCCCATCTCCCTGTTAGCAAACCCTAGAATAATGAAATACAGAGACTCCAGAACACAAATACTGCAGCATCATTTACAAAACCAGACACAACACGTCAGCGTGTCCACAGCCTTACACTGTGCTGGGCCCTGCTCTAGTGTTAATTACAAACCAGTGCCGTGGACCCAACCCCACGCATGGCGACCCCACGTGTGTCAGGGTAGAACTGTGCCCTGGAGGGTTCCAGTGGCTGCGTTTTCAGAAGCAGAGTGCCAGGACTTCCTCCCG